CTGGAGATGTATTCAGAGACTTTCTCATTATTCTTCATGTTGAGATTCTCATATTGCTTTCTCAAGGACTGAAGCTTCACCTTCTTCACTGATGCGTCACCACCATAACATCTAACCAGTGTGTCCCACGCAGCCTTTGCTGTCGTTGAATCTGCAATCTTCTCAAACACATTTACATCAACACATTGATGAATAAAGAATAATGCTTTCTGATCCTTCTTCCTTACTTCCTTCTGCGCGTTTTTCTGTTCATCTGTTGCATCTGCTGCTACCGGAACATAACCATCAGTGACAAGATCTAAAACATCTTGAGCACCAAACAGTACACGCATTTGGATCATCCAACGATTCCAGTTTTTACCGTCAAATACTGGAAGCTTGGTGTTCATGTTGTCGTTTCCGTTCATCTTCACCTTGCACAATACACTCAGATTTCGCACACAGTGTTTCCCAACCCACAGAATTAAAATTCTGATCAGATTTTGTTCAAGATTCAACACGAATCTAAGAATCAAAATCAAACACACAAGACCTCACGTTCACTCGTGTTTCCCGTGTTTCCCAATGAATTTGAACCGGAGCTCTAGATACCAATTGTTGGTGCAAAGGTGAATAAATGATGAACAAAGGAAATATTCTATTAAGAATGACAGCTACAAAAAACATGATAAAAGTTACAATGATTGTCACCCTATTTATAAGCTAAAACTAGGGTTACTAGAATAAGATAAAATACTAAAATACCCTCTAACAAACTTAGGGGCTAAGGAAAATAGTACAACTAAATAAATATGAATTACTATTAATATTCTAATAATACCCGCATCCATACCTGCTGATTTTCGAGGGGTAATTATCCGAATTCATACCTGTAACCATTTTTGATAATTTTTACCCTACCTATTATGGGTAATTTTACAGATGCTCATTGAGGATAAGTCAAATTGACATCCCTATAAATGACAAATGAAACTGATTTCTATTCTCATATTTTAGAAAGATATGTGCGATTTTTGCTCTGTGTTGCATTTTTTTTTAAATTAGAATTTTTTAAAAAAAGTTATAATAATGCTTTAATTTATTTTTATTATTTTACTTTCTAATTGATTTTATTCTAAAGCTACTTGATGATGGTAATTCTAAGTGATTTAATTTTTTCATTTAAGAATGTCTGCATCAAAAAATATTTTGAAGTAATGTAATTTTTTTTAAAGAATTAAAAAATTTTCATATGAATTTTATAGTTGAAAAAATATTTAATTTTATTCTTTTAAAGACATATCAATACATATTTAATTTAACATTTTCAAAAGAAAAAAACACCCATTCCTTCTTCCCAAGTTATAAAATGTTTTAAACATAAACACATTAAAAAACACAATTAATTTTGTAGAATGAAAAAGTTATTGAGGAAAAGAAACTAAGAGAATTAAAAGAAAAATATGTAATGAATGAATAATAAGGAGTATATGTGCATAAAAGCATTCGCATGTGTTCTCTATTTTTTTATTACTACTTCCCTCATTAAATGTTTTGTTCTCCACACTCCACTTTAGTGATAGTATTTGTCTTATCTCTTTTCTCCTATTATTATTGTTTGTTGTTTCCCATAAGAAGAGCAACACAAGTCCGTCACTTCAACTACTTGGAAGCAACCCACTGTACAGGAATTTTTTACCAATTTGCCACAAGCTGAAATCAAATACACTAAAGTGCCACTAGCTGGAAAAAAATTTCACAAATGCCACTACTTCTTTAAGGGTTCGTCCTATGGTTGGACGACCCATTGAAGGTCTTCTGGGCGCAGCATGGGTTCGGCCAATGGATGGCCGACCCTTAGCTAGCTGCTTTTTTTTTGTTTTTTTTTTTAATTTTTTTTATTTCAGAAATTATTATATTATTTTTTTAATAATTTTGTGTTTTTAATTGTTTTTGATATATTAAAATTATTTAAATAATATTATATAATAATAAAAAAATAATTTAATTATTTTAAAAATAATTTAATATAAATAATATTAATTTCATATTATATAATTAATTATTAAATATAAATAATTGTTTTTTACATTATCTAATTAATTGTTTATTATGTACTAAAATTAGTTAAATGATATTTTATATTACCTAATAAGTATATAAAATAATAAATTGAATCATAAAAAAAGAAAATATTATTAATATTTAAGACTGGATAAAATACATTTTTAGACGGGCCGATTTGATGGGCCTGCCACGTTCGAACATTTCTTCCGCATATGACCGATTTCTCGACAAATCCCACATCTTCTCTTTTCTTTCTCAAAATCGTCCATTTCAGTTGTAATTCTTGTACTATTTGGACGCCCTTTCTTATTTCTTCGCATTGTCTCGTCATGACAAAGAGTGAATCCTTCATATGTTGGCCAATTTTGCTGGTGTGGTAGTCCAAGGAAGCTTTGGCTGTATACTTTGAATACAGTTAGAACTTTGAAAACATCTGGTATGTGCATGTTATGGTCCTGTCGTATACTGGCACATGTTGCGATTACATGAGAGCAAGGTAAATGAAATGCCTGAAACCTCCCACAATCGCACCACCCTCTCCTGAGATCAACGCTAAAAGTACCTAATGGTCGGCCATCGCGTTGGTTAATGCATTCGGCAACCATAAAACAGAATCTCTCGCGATCAAATTGAATGACGTTATGACTGCTAGATTTAATAGCCTCGTCGGCCATTCCCTTGATACAGTTTTTCGTGAAAGTTTGACCGGATGCCAACAGTTTTGTCCAATCGTGTCCTCGTTTTCCAAACAGCGATCCCAGACGATAGTACGTTGACTTGACCAATGCTGTAATAGGAAGGTTTCGGGTAGCCTTAAGTACCGAGTTCATAGATTCGGCTAAATTTGTGGTCATGTGTCCCCACCGCTGTCCTCCGTCAAACGCCCTCGACCACTTCGCTCTGGGAATATTGTCAATCCACTCCAAAGCTGCTCTATCTGTTCTTCGTAATTCGCCCCTGTAGTAGTTAAATGTTGCCTCTGTTAGTGCATATCCTGAAAATAATTAAACAAAATGATTAGTAAAACAAAATGATCAAAAAATTATCAATAAAACTTGTGAAGATGTAGACATACCCATGTTGACAACTGTTTTTCGTAGTGTTTTGTTTCTGAACTCACGCATGAAGTTTTGCGCAATATGTCTGATACAGTAAACATGTGAAGATGGAGGAAACTGCCACCCATTTTCAGGATCATCGTAAGCACTCTTGATTGATGGATGTCGGTCGGATATTAGACAAAGATTGGCCTGGGGGGTCACGTGCATTCTCAAATTCTTGAGAAAGAAACTCCAACCATCCTTTGTCTCTCCTTCAACCAATGCAAACGCTATCGGAAAAATGTTACCATTTCCATCTTGTGCCACAGCCATTAACAAAGTCCCTTTGTACTTGCCGTACAACCAGGTTCCGTCTATTTGCACGATTGGTTTACAGTAACTAAAACCACGGATACACGGTTCAAATGCCCAAAAAAGTCGGTGAAATTTTCGTTTGTCACCCAACTGGGTTCCGTCATCTGTAATAATCGGCAATGTTTCCAACTGTGAATGAGTTGAGTGTTGTTTCCTTGGCATATTCTGTACCTATTTCTTTGTTTTGCCAGTGCTGACTCCTGCGTTTTTGAAAATAATGTAGTCGATTGAGTTGGCTCAGTTAGAGTCTAGTAGAGTTAGTAGGAATAACAGAGTGTGCTTAAGGTGTTTTTGATGTCGTGCCAGTGCTGGCTCCGGCGTTGTTGGAAACAATGTAGTGTATTGAGTCGGTGCAAATAAAGGCGGCTAGTGTTAGTTGAATTTTTTTTTTCTATTTTCAAAATTATTCAGTGGGTGCACATGTGAAGTCCAAATAATCCAGTACAAGTTCGTTCACTGGGTGGACGAACGTATGAAGCCTATTTTTTTTTTTTAAATTTTTAATTATATAATAATTTTGATAAATATAAAAACTATTTAATTAATTTTATATAAAAACTATTTAATTAGTTTTATATAAAAACTATTTAATATAAAAATTATTTAATAAATTATATATAAAAATTATTTAATTTAAAAACTATTTAATTAATTTTATATAAAAACTATTTAATATTAAAATTATTTAATTAATTTTATATAAAAACTATTTAATTAATTTTATATAAACACTATTTAATATAAAAACTATTTAATTAATTCTATATAAAAACTATTTAATATAAAAATTATTTAATTAATTTTATATAAAAACTATTTAATATAAAAACTATTTAATTAATTTTATATAAAAACTATTTAATATAAAAACTATTTAATTAATTTTATATAAAAACTATTTAATATAAAAACTATTTAATTAATTTTATATAAAAACTATTTAATATAAAAACTATTTTTACAGACTCTCGATCACTGAATGACTGAGTTCAAACGTAATTTTTTTTTTATAAATAAGTGTATTGCGCATAAGCAAATATCATTCGTGTCAACTTAGCCGATTTATAAAGATGTCTGTGTAAGCTCTTGTTTTGTATGGACTAGAGAAAAAAATCAGTGTTTACCTAGATCCGCTGTGGAATTTTAGAACCGTGGTTGCAGCAATTAACACCGGATTTTGGCAGTTGGGCGGTCGTCGCGTGACGGTGAGAAAAATCGAGTATCATTGTCCATTTATAACGCTTACTGATGGTAGCCCGGAGGGGACGTACATGTACTACCTAGATCGTATAGAAAATGATGAATATGTCCATTGCATGTTCTCAGCACATAATGGCGAAGTCAACAGAGGAGTCACGGATTCACTTGTGTTGGTCGTTGTTGTTTGTTAAGGTTTAGTTTAGCATCCTGATTTTTAATTTTGAGTTTGTGGAGTCACGAATCCACTTTATGTTTGTAGTTCGCTGATATTGTTGTAATTTGAAAGTTGTTTTGAATTAAAAAAACTGATGGATCACATACAAAACTAGTACAATAAAATTATCTATTCGGTCGGTTTGACGGACCGGCAACGTTGGGACATTTTCTACGCATATGTCCTATTTCTCTGCAAATCCCACACCTTCTCTTCTCTTTTTCGGGCTCGTCCATCTCAGTTCTAATTCTACTACTGGTTGGACGCCCCTTTTTATTTCTTCTCATTGAATCGTCGTGGCACAGAGTGAAACCTTCATATTTTGGCCAGTTCTCCTCGTGCAGTAGTCCCAGGAAGCTTTCCTTGTAGACCTTGAATACGTTAAGTACTATGAAGACATCTGTAATGTGTATTGTGTAGTCTTGTCGTATGCTAGAACATGCCGCTATCACGTGGGAGTAAGGCAAGTGAAATGTTTGAAATTTTCCACAGTCACACAAACGATTCCTCAAGTCAACGCTGAAAGTACCCGTTGGACGACCATGGTTGTAATTAATCTTTTCCTGCACCATGAAACAGAATCTTTCGCGATTAAATTGCATGACGTTGTGTGTGTTAGCCTTGGCTACCTCCTCAATCATTCCCTTGTTACAACCATCTGTGAAAACTTTGCTTGAAGATAGCATTTTGGTCCATTTGTATCCCCGTTTACCAAAGAGTGAACCCATTCGATAGTATGTAGACTGGACCAATGCAGTGATGGGAAGGTTTCTTGTTCCCTTTAGTACAGAGTTTATTGCTTCTGCTAAGTTAGATGTCATATGTCCCCAACGTTGCCCTATGTCAAATGCTCTAGCCCACTTCTCCCTAGGAATATTGTCTATCCAATTTAAAGCCTCAATGTTTGTTCTTCTGATTCTTCATCTTTGGATTTGGCAGCAAATCGCTTTTGTGATGATCAATAGTGGTGGTGATGGGATGATAATCAAAAACCTTATTAATGTATTTGTTGTGAATCAGATACCTTAAAACAAAGTATAAACGGTTTTTTTATGATCAAGAAACACACAAGAATTACGGTTAATAAATATAACAAGATAAAACAACAAGGAACAACATGGGTTGATTATAAACTGTTATTGTTTCCTTACTCTTAGAACAAGAGTGTAAGAGCACAGATTGTGTCTTGGTTATATCTCTATGTTTTGATGATAACACTTATAAATTTTGTATTCAAGAATTATATACTCTAAACGTTCTAGATTGTTTGCTACAGGCACTAAAGAAAATTATCTTAAGAAAGCAAAATTGGATCTGAACATTGTTCTTATGAAAGGCTTCATAAGTTCAAGAGCATCTTAAGTGAAGATCTGAACACTGCTCCCAGAAGAATCTGACTACTGTCTCTTGAAGATTCTGAAGAAGGAGCCTCTAAAGCATAGAAGACTCTGCTCTGAAGGATTTACACGCTCAAGCACACTAGCTGCACATACTCTGATTCAGCTCAATCTGAAGAACATTCAAGACTCTGAAGATCCAGATGATTCCTGGTCTGGAGACTCTGAAGATTCAGATTCTAATGTTGAAAGCTGAACTTACTTTGAAGAAGATTTAAATATGTACGTTGGTTTTTCTCAACAGCTCTTTCCTATTTTGTGCTAGACACAAGGACACAGACAAAAAGGTTTTATCTGTGCATTCCATTCTGAGGAAAGTATTCTGCAAGTGAAGACAAAAAGCATCAGGCTTGTTTCAGCACAGCCTCCATTGTGAAGACAAAAGGCTTCAGGCTTTTCTGCACAGTCTTCAACGTAACAAGACTTCTTGGATCTTAGTGCCTATATAAAGAAATACACTCCATCTTCTTCAGTATCGAATCTCTAGCAAAATCACTACTCAAGCAAACCTTTCAAAGCTCTTAATCATATTACTTTGCTTTATCTTTATTCTTAACTTAAGAGAAATATCACTGTTGTGATAACAGCTTATTAGAAGCATTCTTACTCTTGTAAAAGTTTTACTTTGTTTGTAAAAGGTTTTCCTTAAGAGGATCCAGTTGGGATCAGTTGCTCTTGAGAAGACTAAGAACGGTTGTTCTTAGGTGTTGCTATTTGTAATCTGTTTGATTAAAATAGTGGATTAAGTCCTTGACAGAGAAAGGCAAATCACTCTTGAGAGGGTGGACTGGAGTAGTTGTTTTCAACGAACCAGGATAAAAATATCTGTGTTCTAATCTTTGATTTTTAGTCTTACTTATTCAACCCCCCCCCCCCTTCTAAGTAATTTTCTCACCTTCAGTTGGCATCAGAGCTCCGGTTCTGGGTGTGCTCCACTTAATCGTGACAGTTAAAGATCCAGTGAGAAAGATACTTTGATATTTGTATTGTTGCCAATATGGATACATCTACATCAACTTGCAACAACAAATATGAAGGAGATAGGATCAGTACCAAGCCACCCATGTTTGATGGGGAAAAATTTGACTATTGGAAAGATAGAATAGAAAGTTTTTTCCTTGGGTATGATGCTGATCTTTGGGATATGGTCATTGATGGATATAAACATCCTACTGATGAGGATGGCAAAAAGATTGATAGAAAATCAATGACTGAAGTACAGAAAAGAGATTTCAAGAATCACCACAAAGCCAGAACTATATTGCTTAATGCAATCTCTCATACTGAGTATGAGAAGATTACAAACAGAGATACTGCTCATGACATGTTTGAGTCACTCAAAATGACTCATGAGGGAAATTCTCAGGTTAAAGAGACCAAGGCGCTGGCGCTCATACAGAAGTATGAGGCATTCAAAATGGAAGAGTCTGAAAATGTTGAAACTATGTTTTCTAGATTTCAGATTCTTACTGCTGGTCTGAAAGTTCTGGATAAGGGCTACTCAACGTCAGATCATGTCAAGAAGATCATCAGAAGTCTTCCCACCAGATGGAGACCAATGGTGACTGCATTGAAGATGGCAAAAGATCTGAACAAGATCTCCTTAGAAGAACTTATCAGTTCTTTGAGAAGTCATGAAATAGAGCTGGAGGAAGATGAACCCCAGAAGAAAGATAAAGGTAAATCCATAGCTTTAAAATATAACAAACCTGTTAAAGCTTTGCAGGTAAAAGAAGAAAGTTCTGAAGAATCGTCTTCTGAAGAAGAAGATGAACTGTCCATGCTTTCCAGAAGAATCAACAAGCTCTGGAAGCACAAGGGAAAGAAATTTAATAACTTCAGAAAAGCTGACCACAGGAAGGAATCTTCTGGACACAGAAGATCTGGAAAGAAAGAGGTCACATGCTATGAATGCAAGGAACCTGGGCACTACAAAAATGACTGCCCCAAACTTCTCAAGGAGAAACCCAAGAGAAAGTTTGATAAAAAGAAGAAGGTTCTTATGGCAACTTGGGATGATTCAGATGAATCTGAATCTGAATCTGAAGCAGAAGAAGAGTGTGCCAACATGGCATTAATGGCTGGAATAGAAGATCAGAATGAAGAATTATCATCTGAATCTGAGTCAGACTCCGACTCTGACGCTGAAGAGGTAATGTCCAAACTTACCAAAGATGAACTTATAAAGGTGTTATCTGAAGTTTTGAAAAGCTACAATAATATCAAACTCAAGAACAAGAAGCTGAAAAGCAATCTTGAATCTGAGATTGATAATCTGAAAACAGAACTTGTTAAGCAGAGAGAAATAAATTTAAAAATAAAAAATGATTTGGAAATTGTCCAACAAGAATCTGACTCTGAAGCTAAGTCATCTGAAAATATTTTGGAAAAATATGACTCCAGTTTTCAGAGGTTCCTCACTAAAAACATAGACAGAAGCAAGATGGCTTCTATGATCTATGGAGTTAGTAGGAATAAAAGAAAGGGAATTGGATTTCAATCTTCTTCTCTTGAAAAAGATGTAAGACCAATACCTGTAGATGATCTGATCATTAAGATATCTCCTTTATACTCTAATTTTAAATTTGGTCATTTAAATGATATTAAACACACGAGCTCTGAAAAGAATACTCATGTGTTTAGATCTAAGGCAAGTCTAAACAAAAGCTATGTTGAAAAACAAAAGTTTAGACAAACCTACAAGGCAACTAACCCTAAAGGACCCAAGAAGATCTGGGTACCTAAAGACAAAATAATCCCTGTTGCAGATGTCCTTAGCAGCAAAGTCAGGACACCAATCATGGTACCTGGACTCTGGATGCTCACGACACATGACGGGAGAAAGGTCTATGTTCCAAAGTCTGGAACTTAGATCTGGAGGGGACGTGAAATTTGGAGGGAACCAGAAGGGCAAGATCATTGGCTCTGGAACTATAGGTAATGGCAACCTACCCTCTATTTCTAATGTTCTGTTAGTTGAAGGATTGAAACATAATCTATTGTCCATAAGTCAATTAAGTGACAATGGTTATGATATTATCTTTAATCAAAAATGTTGCAAAGCTGTATGTCAAAAGGATGGTTCTATCCTATTCAATGGAAAGAGGAAACACAACATTTATAAAATTAACCTTTCAGAACTTAAAGTTCAAAATGTAAAATGCCTCTTATCTGTGAATGATGAGCAATGGGTCTGGCATAGAAGATTGGGGCATATTAATATGAGACGTATATCTCAGATTAATAAACTCAATCTGGTCAGAGGACTTCCTAAGTTGAAGTTCAACTCAGATGCTCTGTGTGAAGCATGTCAAAGAGGTAAATTTTCAAAATCTCATTTTAAATCAAAAAATGTTGTTTCTACCTCCAGACCATTGGAATTACTTCACATTGATCTGTTTGGACCAGTGAAAACTGCATCCATCAGAGGCAAGAAGTATGGGTTAGTCATTGTACATGACTACAACAGATGGACATGGGTAAAGTTTCTAAAACACAAGGACGAGTCTCATTCTGTGTTCTTTGACTTCTGCAATCAAGTCCAGACTGAAAAAGATTGTAAAATTATTAAAGTCAGAAGTGATCATGGTGGAGAATTTGAAAATAAACATTTTGAAAAATATTTTTCTGAAAAAGGCATTGCACATGATTTCTCCTGTCCTAGAACTCCACAACAAAATGGAGTTGTAGAGAGGAAAAATAGAACATTGCAAGAAATGGCCAGAACCATGATTAACGAGACAAATCTGGCAAAATATTTCTGGGCAGAAGCAATTAACACAGCTTGTTATATTCAGAACAGAGTGTCTGTAAGACCTCTTCTGAAAAAGACTCCCTATAAATTGTGGAGAAACAGAAAGCCTAACATTGCTTATTTTCATCCTTTTGGATGTATTTGTTATATGCTTAATACTAAAGATAATCTGAACAAGTTTGATTCCAAAGCACAGAAGTGTTTCATGCTTGGTTATTCTGAACGCTCTAAAGGCTACAGAGTATTCAATACTGAAACACAGATTGTGGAAGAATCTATTCATGTCAGATTTGATGATAAGCTTGGCTCTGAAAAGCCAAAGCAGTTTGAAAGTTCTGCAGATAGAGAAGTGATTCTCACAGACTCTGAAGGCGCAGAGGCAGAAAAGGCAAAGAACAAAGAATCTGACGCAACCCCAGATGCTACACCTTTGACCTCCCAACTAAACAACTTGCATATTTCTGAAAGATCAACTGTCAGAGGATCTTCTTCCAGAATCAAAGCTTCTCATCCAGAAGATGTGATAATTGGAAAGAAAGATGATCCTATAAGGACAAGATCATTTCTCAGAACTTCTGAATCTTCCTTATTTGGCTTAGTGTCAATGATAGAACCAACATCTGTAGATGAGGCTCTGGAAGATAATGAATGGATTATAGCTATGCAAGAA